ATATGTAAACAATGACAGTTATAGTTCCTCCTGAGCGTCCTCAACGTCTCGGTGCCGCAGTACTGGCCATCTGGAGCTGGATACTGTCGGAGAGCCTGCACCACATCAGCGGGTGAAACCACGCCTCGACCCAATCTCTCGCCCTGCAGGACCCATTGCAGAAAGGCTGTTAGGCGATATTGTCTACAGACATTGAGCACACAGTTAGAGATACATGGTCTTTGTGCAGTAAAGAAGTTAACGTTAGTTCAGTTGGCTGACGTTACGTATTAACCGGAATAACTTTGTGATAATACTTCAACAGACTGTGTACATACATGCCACGTTGTTATAAGACAGAAGCACTTTACAGTCAGACGTCCGTGTGTCCGTAGGCGCACAGCGAGAGCACAGACACCAGCAGTCCGCCCCAGCTCCAGCCAGTCCGGACTCCTCGTCCGGGACAGGCAGGTCCTCTGCCTCGACTGCAGCAGCCTCAGACGCTGCTCGCTATACAGCGGCTCATAAAGGTAGCCTCGAACATCTGATATATACAGCGGCTCATAAAGGTAGCCTCGAACATCTGATATATACAGCGGCTCATAAAGGTAGCCTCGAACATCTGATATATACAGCGGCTCATAAAGGTAGCCTCGAACATCTGATATATACAGCGGCTCATAAAGGTAGCCTCGAACATCTGATATATACAGCGGCTCATAAAGGTAGCCTCGAACATCTGATATATACAGCGGCTCATAAAGGTAGCCTCGAACATCTGATATATACAGCGGCTCATAAAGGTAGCCTCGAACATCTGATATATACAGCGGCTCATAAAGGTAGCCTCGAACATCTGATATATACAGCGGCTCATAAAGGTAGCCTCGAACATCTGATTGACCATCATTGATTACCACAGTCGTAACGTCTGGCTCCACCCACTGATCGGTGACAGGTCTGTAGCGTGAGTGGAACAACAAGAGGAAGTAGTGTTTGTAGTCTCACCTCCTCTACAGAGAGACTTCCTGCTTCCAATGACACACAATGACCATTGTTACATCACTGGAAACAGGAAGTGACACACTAACCTTATTTCTCCCTCTCAGGGGAAGAGAGGGAACGACGACCATTCAACAATATGACTAATGATACACACAGACACATATATTTAACATTTAATATTTATATTTAATATATTTATATTTAATATATTTACTCTACTTTGTTTAAGAATGCTTGATTCTGATTGGCTGGGAGGAGGCCCGCTGACTGAGCACAGCGTCATCAAACAGTAGATCAATACTGACGTCCGTTGGAACAATAAACCTTGTTTACAAAAGTTTAAATTATTAAAGTATTTGAATTGTTTTATTATGTAGAATAAACAGGTTAATCTCCGAGAGCAGGGCAGTTCACTGTAGGGTCCGCTGCCTGTCTCACCTGTCGCTGTCTCACCTGTCCTGTCTCACCTGTCGCTGTCTCACCTGTCCTGTCTCACCTGTCGCTGTCTCACCTGTCCTGTCTCATCTGTTGCTGTCTCACCTGTCGCTGTCTCACCTGTCGCTGTCTCACCTGTCCTGTCTCACCTGTCGCTGTCTCACCTTTCCTGTCTCACCTGTTGCTGTCTCACCTGTGCTGTCTCACCTGTCCTGTCTCACCTGTCGCTGTCTCACCTGTCCTGTCTCACCTGTTGCTGTCTCACCTGTCGCTGTCTCACCTGTCCTGTCTCACCTGTTGCTGTCTCACCTGTCGCTGTCTCACCTGTCCTGTCTCACCTGTCCTGTCTCAGGTGTTGGTGATGCTGCAGCTCCCTCTGGTGGTGACGGCTCAGGTGGACCTGGTCCTGGTTCTGGTCTCCCTGCTGGCCCTCTGGACCAGACTGAGCCGCCTCAGCTACCCCAACGCTGTGGTGTGAGTGTTTGTTTTATACACCTGGAGCAGCTGTAATCCGTGGTGCGTTGAAGGACAGTCAGACGTCTGAGCTCTGTGTTTCTGTGTGCAGGTTTGATGAGGTGTACTACGGTCAGTTTGTGTCTCTCTACATGAAGAGAGTTTTCTTCATCGATGACAGCGGACCGCCGCTCGGTCACATGATCCTGGCCCTGGGAGGTCAGTTACCATGACAACGACACAACCACATAAGGTACTTCCTGTGTGATAATATTTGTGTGTGTGTGTGTGTGTGTGTGTGTTGCAGCGTACCTGGGAGGCTTCGATGGGAACTTTGTGTGGAACAGAATCGGAGCAGGTAGGAACATTTTACTGTAACACCTCCTGCTGCTGTAAACCAGTTCCCTCCAGTTTAACCCGGTTCCAACCGGGTTCCAACCGGGTTCCCTCCAGTTTAACCGGGTTCCAACCGGGTTCCCTCCAGTTTAACCCGGTTCCAACCGGGTTCCCTCCAGTTTAACCGGGTTCCCTCCAGTTTAACCCGGTTCCAACCGGGTTCCCTCCAGTTTAACCCGGTTCCAACCGGGTTCCCTCCAGTTTAACCGGGTTCCCTCCAGTTTAACCCGGT